TTTCCCCCCTGAGTAGGTAGGTTAATTATTGTTGTTATTTTAAGCCCAAATTATCTTAAACTAAATAATATTCATCAATACAGTTCAGATATACAGGGTGGAAAATTAAAAAGGATGCACCTGGATTTTCTCGAAAATTATCAGGAAATTAGAAAAACGCCGAAACACGTCGATTTTGTTTCCAAGGGGGACACTTTTTGGCTATTTCAAAATTTTCCTAGATTGCACCCCCTTACCGGGGTGAGTTACACCCTCAAAAGTTGAATAGGGAAACTGGGTCGAGTGCTACCTTGTTTGACAGGTATTTGAGATGACTTTACAGATCTGTAATTTATTTCGAAATCTGACTACCAGTTTTCAAGATATTCGCCTCGGAAGTTGCCATGCGGCAAAAAGAGAAAGTGTTTTTCGTACATTTCTACAAGAAAAAATTGAAATTCCTGAAACACGTCAATTTTGTTTATTTTGAACCTTTGTTTCTTTGTTAGTTTGAACCTCTTGAATAACCTTTCAAACATGACCCACTTTTCATATTTTCAGGAAACACACATTCTCTTTTCGCCCCATGGCAACTTCCGAGGCAATATCTTGAAAACTAGAAGTCAGATTTTGAAAAAAATGACAGATCTGTAAAGTCATCTCAAATACCTCTCGAACAAGGTACCACTCAACCCAGTTTCCCTATTCAACTTTTCAAGGTGTAACACACCCCGGTAAGGGGGTGCAAGCTAGGAAAATTTTGAAATAGCCAAAAAGTGTCCCCTTTGCAAACAAAATCGACGTGTTTCGGCGTTTTAATTAATTTCCTGATAATTTTCGAGAAAATCCAGGTGGATCCTTTTTAATTTTCCACCTTGTATGTACCTACATTGTACATACCTCAAAGCCTAAAAGTTAATCAGATCTTGTTTTTTTGGAAATGTGGACCTTTCTTAGCTGCAACGGATCTGATTGCTTTTTCTTCCTATGTTCAGATATCAAATACCGGTTAACAAGAATCAAGAGCGTGATTTGAGTTTAAAATTTGACATACATTTTGCATATTTTTTATCTCTTCTACCCCGAAACAAACATTGGAAACTATTTTGACAGAATAACTAGAAGTTAACTTTTGGAATGACGTTACTTCTCATAGTAATTCTAGAAGTTAACTTTAAGTTATCTGTCAAAATAGTTTTATAATGGCCGCCCTTAATCTCAATGCCTTTTTTTGCGCCTACCCACTATTAATACGAAAAAATGGCGGTCAGTAAATTTTAAATCCTGACTGGTGGTGAAAGCGTGTGCCAATAATAAACAAAATCACGAATCACCTTCTCTTAAAAATTCGCTAAAATATATCTTGCGCTACCTTCACCTAATAAAAATCGCAAACAATGCTTATCTAGCTTTTCTGTTTTTTGCTTGTTTACGCTTGGTTACCACTTTTATTTCTTCATCTTGATTGGGTAATAATTGAAGAGCAGGAAGTAGTATTTTTTCAGTGGCGTTACCAGTAGGATGCCAGAGGAAGGTAAAATTTTGATATGAAGAAAAGCTTCATGACCAATAAACTGAACTTGATTATTTTTTTTTTTTAGAATGCATTATTTATTATTTTAAATAATGTTTTGTCATTGAAAGGTATCAAAATTTTCTTATGTTTATGCATGTAGGAAAATTTACTGTGATAATGTAAAATATTCATAGCTTGCATAAGCGCATGGTGGAATTAAGAAAAAAACCTGTTCTAATCTAACATTGAAAAGGCATTATTATCTTTGATGCATAATGAGATAATAAACATAAGGCAATACCGCAACTGAAAACGATGGAAAATTGAAATTTGGTTTATAAAAGAAGGAAAAACTTCAGAATATTGAATATTTTAGGTAAGTATTTAAATTATTCTTCCAATAAATTTTTCGTGGCATCTGATATTTATCATTGCATGCAAATATTGTTATCTTTAGAATAATTTAAAGCCTAGTCAAAACAGGAATACAATCAGTGCTTATCAAGTTATTAATATGTAGGATTTTTTGTTTTGATCCAGGTATATTTCATATCTTCTGCATTATCTGCGGTTTTAGCGGTTCAGTGAATAATATATGAGTTTATGGAAAAATGATACGAGGGCATGCTGATTTTTTTCAGAGCTGATTGGAGACTATGTTCGAGTTAATCGAGTCCAAAGAGATCGCTCTCACAGCATTCATTGACATAGAGGATGCCTTCGACAACACCTCATATCAATCAATCGCTAGAGCCTCACAAGAATGGAATGTTAAAGTCCAAATTGTAAAATCGATAGAGTCGATGCTGAAACACCGTTACAATAGGCTGAAATAAACGGAGTATCAACTACCGCCACCATGGTCAGAGGGTGTCCTCAAGGGAGTGTTCTTTCTCCACTACTATTGACACTAGTGGTGGACAAAATCCTCACCAGACTAAGAACTGCTGGATACCAGGTCATAGGCTATGCAGATGACCTGGCCATTATAATCAAGGGCAAACATGAAGGCGTGATAACAAGCCGAATGCAAAAAGCTCTAAACATCGTTAAAAATTGGAGCGAAAGCGAGGGATTATCTCTAAACCCAAGCAAAACAATTTTTGTCCCGTTCACAAGAAGAAGGAAGCTGAATTTAGAAGCCCCCACGGTACAACACTAACATTTTCCAACGAAGTGCAATACTTGGGGTCACCCTGGACCAAACACGGTAACCAGCAAGGCCGACGCAAAACGGAATCCCGACAGCAAGTTTATAAATTGAGCTTTAAGGGCTTTCAAATGCACCTCAAAACTAGTCTGGGAGTGTAAACAGACCCTAAAAACACTAGCGACACACAACCAGGTAACGCTGATGTGGCTGCCTGGTCATCGAGGCATAGAAGGAAACGAAGAAGCAGATGGCCTCGCAAAAGAAGGGGCCTCAACACCATACCACGGACCAGAGCCCTATTGTGGCTTAATGAAAAGCCACATCATATGGAAGAACTCGACAAATGGGAGAAAGACCAACTGTCATCATATTGGAGGTACACTCCGGGACTGAGACAGTCAAAAATGTTTATCACCCTTTCAGCAAAAAGAGCTGAACAGCTCCTAAACATGAGCACGCCAGACATCAGAATGGTCATAGGACTGCTCACAGGAAACTGCCTGGTGAAATACCACTTAAGATTAATGGGCAGAGCAGAAGACGATCTCTGCAGATTCTGAGCAGACGCAATAGAGACCGCAGAGCACCTGCTCTGCGAATGTCCAGTCCAATTCTGCAAGAGGCTCAAATTTCTCGAGGGGGTAACACTGTCACCAGAAGAAGTGGGCCAACTGACACCCAGAAAAATACTTTGGCAGAAGTCTACGCTTCCTGGAGACAATTTAAGATGCAGACTCACGTACAAAATATTTGCAAAGGTAACAGTGCTTAGCGGCTGGAAAGCCAAAACGACTCCCCCCACAATCTACAATCTACAATGTCCTGAGTATTGGGCCAAAAAATCACACTCGAAAGTATCGTACGTTCGGCCCTATTGGCCTTTGCCTTATCTATTTTTTTCCGACAAAATTACCTGTATGAAAGTTGTAAATAATTACCTTCTAACTTAGTTAGTTCATGGGTTATGGGAAGGAAGAAAGAAACCACTTATCTTACAGCGACGTTTCCTATATTCATGTGTACTTTTTCAAGTTCATCAATCGGTTCTGAGGTTTGAAAAAGTATACATGAAACCTCGCCGTAAGATAAGTGGTTTCTTTCTTCCTTCCCATAACCCATGAACTAACTAACTAACAATGATCCAGGGAAATGGATATTCTTTCAATTACATTCTGATCCTGATCAACTTTGCATTATGACTTTTTTTGCTAGCTATTAAAGTTAAAGGCGCTGCGACCATTTTAATGCTTCAGAATTCAGAAAAAATTAAATAACAAACCTGCAGATTATTGTATAATCTGTTCCATATTCTTCTACAACTTGAACAAAAAAAAAAAACGGTAAATACAAGATTTGTAGAGTTTTACTTTTATTATCTTTTGCACATGTCGAAACGGGCAAATGACAAGTGCTAACTGTCATGATGACAAACGCTTGCATTTTTTTTTTTTTTAGAACACCGTGTTTATATTTGGACAGAATGATTTTTCTCCTGATTCCAAATATACCATCTATGATAATGACTGTTTCTACGCTATTCAAGCTCAAAAATGCATTCACATTAACTTAAATTATAGGTCTGTTCCCGGTTCCTTATATCAATAGTGAGGCTTAACTATTGCAATTTTGAACCTAAATAGCGCAAAGTTGTAGAAGCCTCACTAATTATAAAGGAACATAGTATTATTATACAATAATCTGCAGGTTTGCTATTTAATTTTTTCCGAATTCTGAAGCACTGTAATAGCTATCAAAAAAAGGCATAGGGCAAAGTTGATCAGAATGTTATTATCTGCAACTTTTATTACGGTAATTTTGTCGAAAAAAAAAATTAATAAAAAAAGGCCAATGGGGCCGAACGCTTTCGAGTGTTTCAATACTCAGGACACGGTCTCCAATAAGCTCTGAAAAAATCAGCCTGCCCTCGTAAAATTTTTTGAAAAACCCATTTTATTATATTCACTGGACTATCAGGAAGTTCCGTTATCAGCAACAATAAACTTTTAGTTTCTAGAAAGGTATTACATCTTTGGTCTAGGTCTAATAAATTATAAGCTTAGAAATAGAATTTCAAAAATTATTTGTATTAAATGCACTCTGTAATTCTTTATTTATTGGTCTTAAGATCATCAGCAAACTGTTCAATCAAATTTGCCATAATGTCGTAAAAATAAATATTCATAAAAAAAAACAAAGTCAAAGTTTATATGGAACTCATCAACATATGCCCACCTCGTACTGGGTACCTATATCAAGTACCAATTTTGATTAGGTATCCACCTACATAAGTATTATGTGCAATGAGAATGAAAAAAAAAAAAAAATGAAACGGAAAAATTAATTTTCACTTACCTTTTGGGCACTACGGTAGGCCTGTAAATGGTGTTACTTCCCAATAAATTGGTTCTGGAAGAAACATCGCCGATATCCATGATGGGTGAAAAATAAATTCAAACGATGCAATAACGGTCCGGCAAATTTGCACTGGTGAACTGAATTTAATTAATTTGAATTTTGAAGGTAACACAAAAATCGTATTATTGTAAACACGCTAATTAGGGTTAACGTTTGCGATAGAACTCGCGCGGCAAGGATCACGAACGGTTTTACACTACCTAACCATTTAACTGATTTATATTAATTTTTCGACAGGTATTTCGAGATAAAAATGCGCATAACATTTGCGTACATGCGCGCTAACGTATTCAAATAAAAAAAATTAATGTATCCATTTATACTCAATCCATAATATTTAATATTTAATATACAGGGTGTCCCTTCAAGTGCCGTGATACTGCATACCTACTCCTGAGGTGAAAACAAGTCGATTCAACCGAACTTTCCTTAGTCTAAGAATGCATCGTTACCGACTATGTATAAAAAATGGAAATTTGAATTTAAAAAAATAAAAAATTGTTTTTGCCATAGGGATGAAATCTGTTATGAGGCGCCTCTTTCGACGCAACTTTTTTATTCTTAGATAGTGCATAAGGGGTGGAATTCACACAACCAAAACTTTTTTATTTCTTGGTTAATTTTTTTTAAAGACAGACCTATCCTATTTTAAACTTTTGCTATCCAGCTGTTACGGTTAAGACAAAAAAAAAACGGAATCGTCTTCTTTTTGTCTTTGGATAATAATAATATGAAGGAAACCACAAATAAATGTTTTAAAAATGTGAAATGTATATATAGGGTGGTCCAAAAAAAACCGGAATTTTGTTTTTGAGCTGTAACTTTTTTATTTGTTGACCAATTTTCTTTTGTTTTGGCTTGTTTGAAAGAGAAATGAATAGACTAACGGATCAAGGTAAAACTTTTGATATTTGAAAAAAATCCAAAATGGCGGACTCCTTCAAAAATTGCCTATTTTTGGATAGCGCTGGAACTTTTTTGTGACACCCTGTATAAGTTTTTTTAATAAATTCTGAAAGTTCATCATTTTGCGAACATTTTAAGACCTCGACAGAAAAAATCGGTTAAAAACTAAGTGAAATATTGAATTGTTTGTAATATCGAATTTAAATTTTTTATATTGACAGCAAAATCTGGGATATGCTATTTCAGCTGTATTTTTTTTTCTACTCGACATATTCTTTCTATTTCGGGCTTGTTCGGAAGATAAATAGATAGGGTACGGATTCGAAATGAAGATTTTGACTGGTTGAGAAAAAATTAAAGATTTCCCAGTTCCTTCAACATAGCTAATTTTGAAAAAATTAGCGTTAAGTTTTCTTACAATACGACCAATATTTTAATTTATAAATTTTAAAAAATAAAGTAAACACATTTAAGGAGCGATATGCCCTCCGTGGGTCTCAACAACCTATGCTAAACGTCTACGCCAAGAATCGATAAAATTGGCAATGTTACATTGTTCCAACAGTTCTCCACAACACTCAATGATTCGGTTGCGCAGCTCTTCTAAATTATTGAACGTAGCCCCACTTCCGTGGACTTTTTCTTCCGCCTTATATCACCCTATAAAAAGTAATCGTAGGGATTCAAATCTGGGCTATAAGGCGGCCAGCAGCCAGTCCCGTTGACTGGCCGCTCTATAAAATTCGCAACTTGCTCTCTTAGATAGTTGACAGTGATTTAATGCTGAAGCATGTTAAACATTTGAACTATCCTACTTAATAGATTTAGTGCCCGTGCTGAAATCCGAAAAATCTGGTCCAGTGATAGGAAAATTTTCACCTTATCCGGAGTAAAGAATTCGCAAAACGACCAACTACGAATTTCCCTCCAAGCTCGAAAAGCAGATAAAGGAAGAGAAAAATTCAGCAGTTATTTAATGGTATCTATCTGCAGCAATTTCTCGAAGCCACAAAGCACAACTAATTGTTATCGACCAAGGAGTTCGCTTGGATTCACGCAAGTATTGTCAGCTTGTGTTCGCCAATTGCTATCCGAAATCAAGGTTGTTTGAGAGAGGTAGATTGCCTGATAACTTTTATGACGTCATCTGAATGCCTGAACATAATGCAAATCTCCATATGGCACTCTAGATGCGTCATCAAGTTACCCATTACCAGACAACCTGTTAACTTTAGGAACCTTTATCCGAAATTGAACAGCTCACACCTCAAGACTACACTTTTATGCAGGTAATTTTATAACTCACCTAGTTAACATTTATTGTTGAGATTTTGGTTCTCACAAAAACTTTGATAAAATTGTAAGTTTTTGTATTTCTCTTTTTATGAGATATCTAAAAGTGATAAATACTGTTCGTATATCAACTATCTAAGAGAGCAACTTGCGGATTTTATACAGCCCGTTGACTGGCCGCCTAATAACCCAGATTTGAATTCCTGCGATTACTTTTTATGAGGGGATTTGGGAGAAAAAGTCCACGAAAATGGGGCTACATTCAATAATTTAGGAGAGCTGCGCAACCGAATCATTGAGTGTTGGGGAGAACTGCTGGAACAACGTAACATTGCCAATTCTATCGATTCTTGGCGTAGACGTTTAGCATGGGTTGTTGAGGCCCACGGAGAGCATATCGCCTCTTGCCCCTTCAATGTGTTTACCTTATTTTTTTAACTTTATAAATAAAAATATTAGTCGTATTGTTAGAAAACTTATCATTAACTTTTTCAAAATTGGCTATGTTAAAGGAACTGGGAAATCTTTAATTTTTTCTCAACAGTCAAATTCTTCATTTCGAATCCTTATCCTATCTATTTATCTTTCGAACAAGTCCGAAATAGAAAAAATATGTCGAGTAGAAAAAAAAAATCTAGCTGAAATAGCATATCTTAGATATTGCTGTCATCATAAAAAATTGAAATTCGATATTACAAAAAATTCAATATTTCACTTAGTTTTTAACCGATTTTTTCTGTCAGGGTCTTAAAATGTTTGCAAAATAATGAACTTTAAGAATTTATTAAAAAAACTTATACCGGGTGTCACAAAAAAGTTCCAGCGCTATCCAAAACTAGGCAATTTTTGAAGGAGTCCGCCATTTTGGATTTTTCTCAAATGTCAAAAGTTTTACTCTGATTCGTTAGCCTGTTCATTTCTCTTTCAAACAAGCCAAAACAAAAGAAAATTGGTCAACAAATAAAAAAATTACAGCTCAAAAACAAAATTCCGGTTTTTTTTGGACCTCCCTATATTTTGTCAAAAATAGTAGCTATCAAAAGATCACATATCAAAATAAATAGACAGTTTTTCACTGTCTTTGCATTTTTGACATAGCAAATTGTAAATTCATTGATTGGAATTTTCCATGAGCTGTAAGTTTAAGTGAATTTAATCTATTTAGATTATTGAATTATGAAGTGTGTAATAAAACTAGGTATCAACCTTATTATAATTAATGGTATCATTCAACGAAATAACAAACATTAATATTTGATGAACTAATTAATCATCTTTTTTCTCAAAAAATGATTTAGACTTTGATATTTCAAACAGATACATCTAGTAAAAAGTATGAATGTATGACAGAAAATAGCACGATATCAATTTCTAGAATGTGTATACCTCAGACTTTGATACCTCCTTTGAATTAGGCTATCTTTTAAAAATTTAAAGACAGAGTTTGTTTTACGAATTTTCGCACTATTTTTTAAAATATTGTTATAAAATAACTGAGATAGCTTTTAAACCCGTACGACGGCGTACGTATTGGTCGTATGCCCATTAACTGGAAGTTTGGATTTGAAGAAATCATCTAGCCAGAGAATAATTATTGATCGGCATTACCGGAGATTATTAGAAGAATTCTCGAGAAAATTAGAGAATGATTGAAACGGTTCTGTATAAGCGTCTCGCGATGTGGAAGGAGAGCGGTTTTGACTTGAACAGGACCGGCTCCAGAAAATTTTGCAAGATCGAGAAACGGACGACAGAAAGAAAAACAGGTAGCACAGGAGCAGCTCCAGAAAAATTTGCAAGAACTAGAAGAAATATGACACTAAAACAGGACTGCGGCTCCAGAAATTTTTACAAAAACAAAGAATCGCCGGATTGTTCCAGAATATTCGACAAAAAGTCAAAGGCGAAATATAAACAGCCCGAAAAGCCTTATTCCTTTATAGAAGATTCGTACTTTTGGTACCTATATGAAATGCACGACCCAGCCCATCTCCGTTTTCTATATTATGGACCCATCCGCATCCGTACATTAATACCGTATAGCTTCAGGGTACTCTGAAATAATTCCGTCAACTATGCTCTCTATACGTATAGGTATAAATGTAGATTTATAGGTAGAGATTAGACGGTAAAAAGTCGCAAAAAAGATAACAAATTAGTGAATAGATGCTAAACAGTAATTTAGAGCTGCAGACATGTTTTTTTTTGTGTAGGTATATTTTTTCATCATCAAAAATTCAATGCGAAAACCAAATTCTGATATTTTTTTGATGCCCCTTAAATTATTTAGTAAATCTAATCTAATTTTATGCTCGGCTCTCAATTTAAATTAAGTTTTATATTTTTTTATTCTTATTTGATTCTACAATCTTTCTCTTGTTTTCGTGAAACATGAATGTAACTGTGGTGCCTTGAGCAATGTTAGTGCTTTTAATGCATTTTTGAGAATTTCCAACTCATTATTGAATATACTTGAGTCAAGATAGTTCAAATTTTGGGTGAAGCTAGACAAAAATAATATAGCGCTAATTTTTGGTATACATCATAATTTAGGGCTAAATATTAATATACTAAAAGTCCTGGAGAATCCTCCTTCCGCAACCTCCTTTTTTCGCTCCCCAAACCCCCCCTTTCAATATTTTGGGGATTTTCTCGAAAACTATCCACTTTAAGAAAAAATGTCAAGAAAGTATTTTTGAAGCTGACAAAATTCCCCTGAAAACGACGTACTGCGAGCTCATATATTATCACGTGGTACGCACCAGTGGTGCATCAAAAGAAAGTTTGCCCCGAGATTAATTGAAAACTATAAGCTTGGCGAAAAATATCGTTACCAATTTTTTTGTAGGTGATAAAATTGCAAATCTATTCATACATAGAACGACCACCTAGAACCAAAAATATTGGTGTTTAAGTTTCACCCCACTGATCAGTTCTGGCGACAGCTTCAGACATAAGTTTTTCTTTTATCAAAATAGTAGATACTTGAATGATTGTTTTCTGGTTGTAATACTTTTTATTTTTGATTTCATGTTTTTAAAAATTTCACGTAACG